CCCCACGGAACCCCGCCCCCACTGGCCAGCCCCCCTGCCCCACGGAACCCCGCCCCCACTGGCCAGCCCCCCCGCCCCATGGAACCCCGCCCCCATGCCCCTCGGCCCGCCTGCCCGCTCCATGGCCCCGCACTGCCTCCCAAAAGCAGCCAGACCTAGTGGAAGAGAGCGCTCAGCGTGGGCTGCCCCACGGCACGGCCGGCTCCACATGGATCACCCGCCCCGTGGCCCCTCCCCCGCCTGCTCCACCCCATGGCTGCCCCCCACAGGCTGGCGGCCAGACCTAGGGAGGGACAGAACTCAGCATTGGCCAGCCCCACCAGCTGCAACAGCCCCATCCCACGGCCTGCCCCCCACCCCTGACCCCAGTGTCAGTGTGAGCACCCACTGCCTGCCCCCCACCAGTGCCAGCACCCCCAGCACCCCATGCCCCCACTGTGGGAGCACCACTGCCCCCTGCAACAGTACCCATCCCCCACCCTGACTGTACCAGTGTCAGCATCCCCACTGCCACCCCACAGCATCGGAACCCCCCATGCCACCGCCCACACACACCCGGCCCCACAGCACCATCTCCTTCCCCACACACACCCAGTCACCACCACACCACAGCAACAGAGGGTCCTGTGGCACCTTTAAGACTAACAGAAGTATTGGGAGCATAAGCTGTCGTGGGTAAGAACCTCACTTCTTCAGATACTTCAGCCACGCTCCCCGCACCCCCAACAGCACATGCACCCGCCACACACAGCCCTGCCCGGGCTCCCCTCGGCTCCCAGGGGTGGCTGAGGCTGACCTGACCCCCCCAGACATACACCCCCCATTCTGTCCCCACAGCGATCTGTCCCCCTGCACCCTCGCTGGGCTACCCCCCACCTCCCCCACTGTGTTAACGCTGCCCCCTGCTGTGCCAGTGCCTGCTGCTGTCACAGCCCTCTGGCTCGGCCCCTGCGCCCCCCAGGGCATGCAGCTCCCTGCCCCAGGGCCACACACTCACCAGAAAGCAATCCCTTGCTAGTGCCTTTGCAGGCAGACAGGGAGCCCTGGGGGACTTCCCACCCCTAAAAGGAGGGGGCCAGGGCTGTGAGCAGTTTGGGGCTGGCACCGTCCCCCCCCCCCGTGAGTGTGCAGCGCCTGGCACACAGAGCTGCTGCAATACAGAGAACAAACAGCCAGGCAGGGCATGTGGCAGGGAGCTCACAAGTGTGGGTTTGGGGCCGCCCAGGCAGCACTGGGCTCGGCTCTGTGAGCCCAGCTGGGAACTCAACAGGTTTCTCTGTATGTCCTGCCAGGCCAGTGCCTCCCAAGATGGGCATCCGTCTGCTCCTGCCGGTGTCGGGGCAGGACACCTGGGCCCAGCGGAGTCCCCATCCTCAGTGCAGCAGAGTGAAGGGTGGCACCAGTTTCCTGCACCTGCCTTGAGGAGGGGTGACTGCACTGCAGGTCACCGCTCACCCCTGCCCTGTGCTATGCTGGGGCTGAGGAGTGCAGCTGGTGCAGGGCCCCGCTGGAATGACTCCCATACACACGTGGGCTCCGTGCCAGGAGAAGCCTGGCAGCGTGCCCAGGGCTGGCAGACACAGTGTGGGACCAAAACATCCTTTCAGCGCCCGGCTGCAAACAAGCTCCAGCTAGTTCCCCTGGCAATAGGCCCCTGTAAATCCATCGGCACCTGGACCCCAGGCGCTTGGCTCTACCAGCCCGTCTCTCCCACCTATGCTCCTGGTTATTGCTCTGCCGCTGGGGCAGTGCCGGGCTGGGCCCGAACAACAACCAATTCCTGGCCAAGACACAACTAGTTTACTTCAGATCAGCCAATGCCAGCCAAGACTGTAGCAGTGTGAGCTTCCCCCCAGCAGTGCCCTGTCAACACCAGCTGGGACCCCAATGCCGTGAGCTTCCCCCAAGCAGTGCCCTGTCAGTGCCAGCTGGGACCCCAATGCCGTGAGCTTTCCCCAGCAGTGCCCTGTCAGCACCAGCTGGGACCCCAATGCCGTGAGCTTCCCCCAAGCAGTGCCCTGTCAGTGCCAGCTGGAACCCCAATGCTGAGAGCTTTCCCCAGCAGTGCCCTGTCAGCACCAGCTGGGACCCCAGTGCTGAGAGTGTCCCCTAAGCAGTGCCCTGTTGGTGCCAGGTAGGACCCCAGCAGGGTGAGCTCTCTTCCTCTCTAATCCCATTGCTAACGCCAGAGCCTTCCTGAACTATAGAACTTTACTCTATTGACCTAATTTAAAAATAATGTTGGGCAGCTGGGAGAGTGAGAGCAAACCATGGCCCAGAGCCAGGGCCTAGACGCCATGGGGATGGGCACCTGGAAGACTCAGACCCCATCGGCCACCTGGCATGTTTGGAGAGCTGCTGTTCACCTGCTGCTGCTCCCACACAAGTCTGAGCCTCACACAAGGGCCCAAGGAACTGACCACACCAGCCAGTGTCTGAAGCTCTGCAAGTCACCGCAGGATGAGCTTGGTGCCTGCAGCCCCTCACGCTCCAGCACCGCAGGAAAGCAACTGCTTCCGGGGAGGCTGATGCCGGCTACACAGATCCCCTGAGCGCTGCCTCCTCCCTAAGAGCAGCCTTGTGCTCGGAGAGAGCCAAGCTCGTCCTTGGCTGCATAAATACTAGGTAGAAGTGGTGAGGTGAGCTTGCCTCTGTACGCAGCCCTGGTGAGGCTGTAACTGGGACAAGGTGTCCAGTGCTGGTCGCTGCACGTCAAGCAGGTGGGAGAAATGCTGGAGAGAGTTCGAAGGAGTGCCACAAAGCTGATCCGGGGGCTGGAAAAGAAGCCTTGTGGCTTAAGGAACTAACCAAAGAGAAGGCTGGGAAGCACCTGGATCCAGGGCTCTAGCAGATCTGAAAGTCAGAGGCAGAGGTTTTCAGCCTTTCTGACAAAGGTACACGAGATCCAATGGCAGAAAGTTGGGCAAACTCAGCGTTGAAATGAGATGTGATTTCCTGGCAGTGAGGGTGATCAGACACTGGAACGGCTGCGAGGGGCAGTGGTGGACTCCCCACCGCGTGGAGTCTTTAAGAGAGAGTAGATACTTTTCGAAGGGACGTGCTTTGATCCAGCTTCTGGGAGACACTCTACAACTGGTGCGTGTGGGAAGCTGGGTTGGGTGGTCACGGGGTCTCTTCTGGCCTTGTCATCTGTGAGTGCCCCTGTTCAGCCCCTTTCTTCCTAGGCTACAGAGAACAGGACTGCCTGCCTTGCCCTTCACACACCCCTAACACTCAGCTTTGCACCACACAATAAATATAACCTAATTTCAGGCTTCAGGTGGTCACCGGTAGGGGTCAGGAAGGAATTTTTGCCCCAACACACAACTGACCAGATTCTGAATTATTTGGGGAAGTTCTCTGGCCTGTGATACAGACTGAATGATCCATCAAAAAGGCCTTGGCCCCATGGCTTGCCTGCCCAGTGTGTTCACAGCCCACCGGGGGGAGGATGAGCTGGGATTGCCCTTGCTGAGCCTTCCCCAGCAGCGCCAGGGATTCCACACCAAGTGTGGATGGAGAAGACGCCTCAGTGGTGCCTGGCCAGCAGCCTGCCATACCCTCCCTGCACACGGGCAGCTTTCCTCCTCTTCCAGGACGGGCCCAGGAACTCCTGCCCCGCAGACACTGACGCTTTCTTGCCCTTATGGCTAAGGGGGCCCAGAGCGCCACTGAACGGTGCCAACAAGGCCCCAGGTGTCGGCCTGGTACTGCGGCACCAGCCCCCGGGAACAGAGAGAAGTCCTGCGCTGGCCTGTTCCAATGGGATGAGCTCCCAGCAGGGCCCACATGGACGGGTTCCTTCACAGCCCCACTGGGGCTCAGCTCCGGGACAGCCCCTGGACACGACAGCCACGACCCAATGTCTGTGGCGCCTGCTTTGTCCTGGAGCGCCCTGGCTGTGAGCCCAGCTCGGTCCCTCCCTAGACAGGAGATGGATGGTGTCAGGGCCGGGGCCTGGACATTGGGCCCCTCAGCAAGTAAGGGTCAGGGCTCCCTCCTCGAGCTGCTATGTGGGGCCTGGGCTCCCCTCCGGCAGGACAGGGGAAGGGATCAACCCTCACCACTGTCACTGTGCCATGAGCCAGCTGCCCACCCTGCTGCAGCCATGTCACCTCCTTGGCTCCAGACACTGGGGCCTGGGACTCAGGGGCCCAGAAGGTGCTGGAGATCAGCGGGGGAGGGGAGGGGAATGTGCAGGGGCCCTTTGGAGAACCACCCGGGATTCCTCTGGAGGTTACCATGGCAACAAATTAGTAATGACTGTGACATTTTGCCATGGCAACATGAGTGAGAGAATCACCCCGATTTGTGGTTGCCAAGAATTCCCAGGCTCGGGCTGGTGCAAGGATCCCAGGCCCCAGCCCTGTGGGGTGAGGAGCTGGGGCCAGAGGAGAGCGAAAGGCAGAGGAAAGACCGAGCTAGGAGGCCAAGGCCACGGCCAGAGGGCGTGGGAGTTGGTGGCTCAGTGGGCTGCACTGGGCTCGTCACTCAAGAGACCTGGGCTCACGGCTGGCTCACTGATGAGCCCGGGGGGTCATATCCTGCCTCAGCCACATACCTACTGCAAAATTCTCCTGAGAGCGGGACCCTGCGGCAGCCAGGCAGGACTGGACTGGCGGAGAAAGAGGTGGGGGGTTGGTCAGGGCTGAGAGGCAGCAACAGGCTAGCGGGGGGGCAGGGCTGGGCTAGCAGGGGCTGCAGGTCGGTGTTGGGGGGTGGGCACCGGCAGAGATGTGGGTGGGAGGAGCCCAGGGCTGGGCTAGCAGGGGCTGCAGGGGATCAAGGCACTGTTGTACTAGGATGTCCCGATTTTATAGGGACAGTCCCGATTTTTGGGTCTTTTTCTTATATAGGCTCCTATTACCCCCCACCCCCCGTCCCGATTTTTCACATTTGCTGTCTGGTCACCCTATGCTGTACAGACCCTTCTAGACTATCACATCTCAGCTCTGCTCATTCAGGAACCTAGGTACTCAGACGATTTAGCTGCTGGCAGATCACCGGTTGCCCTGTCTGTGCATGCACATGGCTTTGCCCAGGTGGGACAAATGCCCCGAGGGTACAAATGACAGAACTATCACAGAGTGACACATGGGGGCAGGGAAATCTCAGACACAGCCCGATTCCCAACTGCCCTGGAGACGTACCTGGCACCTAGCGTTACAGAGCGGAGCCCACAGCCATGGCACCTGAAGCTGCGTGGCCAGTCCCGTCCTGTCCTTCCTGCAGCTCCTGCCTCAGTTCTGGGCCCTTCCTCTCCTGGGTCACCTGCTTTGTTTACCAAATAGCTATTTCTCTTCCTTCCTGAGCTCTGTGCTCCTAGGAGACTGGCTGCTCAGCCCCTCCCTGCCCCACCTGACGGGCTTAGCCCACGAAAACCCCGCAAGGGGAGGGTGCTGCCTCAGCAGCGTCATAGCTGGTGCTGGTTCCGCAGGGACCGACTCCCCTGCAGTAGGGGCTTGGGTCCCATTGCAGAGTTGAGGGGTGCTGCAGAGGAAGGGGCTGGTGTGGTGGGGGGTTCAGCTCGGAGCATGAGGCTGGAGTGAGGTCCAACCCCCTGGAGACGCCAGCCAGGGCAGGGACGTGACCCTGGCACAGAGAGGATTTCACGCTCAGCAACTCGGACCCGCCCCCCATTGTCACCCATGTCTGCTGTTGGTTTTTCCCCTCCCTTGATGGCATCATTATTAGAGAGCAAGAGCCGCCAGTCAGGAGGGAGCACCTCTGCCATGGGACCTAGGGACTGTGACATCACCACGCGTTGGTATGAGAGCGGGTGTGACATCACCACGCGTTGGTATGGGAACGGGCGTGACATCACCACACATTGCTATGGGAGCGGGCGTGACATCACCACGCGTTGGTATGGGAACGGGCGTGACATCACCACACATTGCTATGGGAGCAGCTGGAACGTCACAGACACCGGTGAGCCAGGCCACTGCAGCCTGTTCAGCTGTCAGCCTCTGGAAGCCACAGGCCTCCCCTTGCCCTCTGACCCCTGCCCCACAAGCTTCCCCATGCTCTCTGACCCCACACCCATGGGCCTCCCCGTGCTCTCTGACCCCTCCCCCATGGGCTTTTCCTGGGGCTGGGGGACATTGGTCTGAAAGCAGGGGGAGGGGACTGGTGGGGGGGGGCAAGAATTGGCAGGAGCCAGAGATTGACAGGAGAGGGAGCCAATGGGAAGGGGGGGAGGGTGTTGACGGGAGGGGGCGGACAGGGGAGGGAGCAGGGGGTTGCCTGCCCCTTCCCTCCCATGCTGGCTGCGGACCCTGTTCCTGGGCACCGTGATGGGCAGCACCCATGTGTGTGGGGGGAGGGGAACCACACGCACTCCATCCGAGTGGGCGCAGAGGCCTACCCCGCTAAGAGACTGCAGCGCACTCCATGGATGGCCAGGAGCAGCCCCCACCTCAAACTCGCTCCCTCTGAACCCTGGCTGGTCCTAGCTACTGGCAGCCAGGCCTGCGTACCACAAGCTCCCATTTATCTCCCCCCCCTGTGGGTGTGGGGAGGCAGCGGGAGCAAGGGTTCCCGGCACAGATGCGGCACGCACGGCACAGGCCAGGCACTCACACACATGTGCAAGGCCACACGTTTCTGCGCAGTCTCACACATCCGGGCAGCGTAGGTAATGGCTTGTGGGTGTGCGAGCACACAGCTTCCCCGCCATGTGGGGTTGGTGTTAGCGGAGCTGGGGGAGCAGGTGCACACCCCGGGGACCCAGACACCCATGTGCAGAGATGACATGCACGCACACATACACACACACACACACACACAGATGTGCACACACACACTCAGCGCTAGATTTTCAGTGTGAGGAGTGCTGGATTTGAACAATTAAATAACCTGCCCTGGTGGAAAGGGACTTGTGGTGAAGGAGGGGAGGGGAGACCAGCCTCTGCTGCTTTCCAGCCCCCAGCCCCTTGTCAGTCTGGGGCCCAGGAGGGATTTCCAGGCAGCTGGGTAAGAGGAGAGGAAACGCACTCCAGGCCAGGCCCTGCAGGGGCTCTTGTGTTCAGATGGACAGGGCTGGGGCACTGCTCTCTCACCAGGCTCAGGGCATCGCATGGGACACACTCACTTCCTCTCGTAAACAGCAGCTGCTGCTCTGGGGAGAGGCTAACATGGTACCTGCACATTGGAAGGGAGCCTGTTGGGAACATCACCACACGCACCCCCAATACTGGCTCCAGGCAGCACCTGTCTCCACCCACAAAAACAAACACATAGAATTTGGGATTGCACATGGAGCCCGTCCCACGGGACCCACCAGCCCAGCCACGTCCTGCCCTTGTTTTGGGGGTGTAGCCTCTGGTCTCCCCAACACCCATCAGCTGCTCAGACCACACCCCTTGCCCGTGGTGCTCACCAGGCCACCCCTCAAGTCCCTGCACTGGCTCCCTGTGACACAAAGGATGGGTCACGACTCTGTGTCAGTAACTCCTCAGGCCTGACACACTCACTACACCTCATGCTGTCATGTCCTGTGTCTAACCGGTGTCATGTACAAACTGGTAACACGCAGGTCCTGACAACCATTGTGTGTACGCCCAGGGCTCCCGGCACCCACCCTCCCCCCATTCAGACACTCTCCCCAGGACAAGGGAGAGGGGATCGGACTGCTGGGCCCTGGTACAGATGTGTGGGGAGGAGGGTGGTCTGCACTGACACACCAGCATCTGGAATCAGTCCCCGCCCCTTTCCTCTCTGGCTATCTCCATGGTTACCATCAGCTGAGTGCTGGGGGGTAGTCCCGGGATCTCCCTGGGACCTAGACAGACAGACAGACAGACACACCACAGGGCCCAACTGCAAAGCCACAGCTGCACCCAGAGCACAGGGCAGGGGAACTCTGCCAGATCCTGGAGGCTGCCCTCGGCCTCACAGTCAGAGCCCCCCGTACAAATACACCCCCAGAGCTCCCCCAGTGCCCTGCACACACAACCAGCCCCACGTCCACACACAGCCCCACATCCACACACTGCCCCACATCTACACCAGCCCCCTGCACACACAACCAGCCCCACGTCCACACACAGCCCCACATCCACACACTGCCCCACATCTACACCAGCCCCCTGCACACGCAGCCCCACATCCACACACTGCCCCACACACAGCCCCACATCCACACCAGCCCCCTGCACACACAGCCCCACACCCACACACTGCCCCACACACAGCCCCACATCCACACCAGCCCCCTGCACACACAGCC